TAAAATATCCAACCTGAGGTCTTTGTCTGCCAACTCTATCATATCTATCATTTTTGGTTCTGTTTCTGTTCCTACTGACTGATTTTTCTCACTTTTAGGCTTCTTTACATATTTTGTAATTTTGAGTGGATGTTGCACATTGTGAACGTTACATTGCTGAGTGTCTAGATTTTGTTGTCTTCATGTAAAAATTACTGAGTTTTATTTTGGTGAGTACTTCAGTTCCTTACAAATCAACATGATCCTTTTAAGGCTTTTTTTAAAAAATAAAAATTTTTATTTATTTGAGAGAGAGTTACCGAGCATGAGCGGGGGAGGGGGAGGGCGTGGCAGAGGGAGAGGGAGAAACAGACTCCCCGCTGAGCAGAGAGCCCAAGGTGTGGCTCAATCTCAGGACCCTAAGATCATGACCTGAGCCAAGGGCGGACGCCTAATTGACTGAGCCACCCGCTTTTAAGGCTTTTTTAAAGCTTTAGGGTAGCTCGAAAGTAGTCTTTATTCTAGGGCTAGTTTAGTCCTACTGACAAGCCATGACCTCCCAACGTCTCTACTGAATTGCCTGGGTGTTCGACAAGTCTGCTCCTGTATGGATCACTGGAAGTTGAACATTTCCCAGCCCTTTGTGAACTCTGGGTACTAGTCAGCTTACAGGTCCCCTCTAGTTGTTCTTTCCCCGGTAATTTGTTTCCAGCCTTGTGCAGTGTTACCCTGTGCATTAGCAGCTTAGTATTCAAACCAAGACTCGAGGGGATCCTATGTAGATTTCTGGAGCTTTTTCTGTGTTGCTCCCTCCTATCTGATATGGAGCCCTGAAAATTCCATCTTTCCTCGTCCCTTCAAACTCTGACCCCTTTATCTGTACCTCAGCAAGGTTATCATGTTCTGTGCTGTTTTCTGGAAAGAGCCTCCAGCGTGAAAACTGGGCCAACATAGTGCCTGCCTCATTTGTTTTTCTTCATTCAGAGATTACAGTCCTATGTTTGTTATCCAATATCAAAAGCATTTATTTTATTTAATATATAAGTCCGGTTTTATAGTTATGTTGGGAAGGCAAGTCTAGCTCAGTGACTGTGTCGTGGCCAGTGGTGAGAGTCTTCCTTGTCCCTTTCATCAATTTTCTTTCTAATTGAGGTAAAATTCACATAAAAAATATTAATCGTTTAAAAGCATACCTTTGGGGCGCCTGGGTGGCTCAGTTGGTTGAGCTTCAGACTTGGTTTCAGCTCAGGTCTTGATCTCAAGGGTTGTGAGATTGAGCCCCCTCCCCCCAACCACCAACCCCACACTCCCTAACCCTCCTCACCTCACCACCTGTTGGGCTTCGCGCTCAGTGGGGAATCTGCCTGAAGAGTCTCTCCTTCTGCCCCTACCCCTCATTCTCACACACACGTCCTCTCCCTCTCTCTAAAATCAGTCAGTCAATCATTAAAAGCATACCCTTTCATCAGTTTTTAAATCAACTTTTAGAATGTTCCAAATCCCTCCTATTTTGTCAGGTATTTATGTTTGATCAAATAAAGTATTTTAAAGGATTTGGAGTGAGAAGCTTTCCCATGTAAGGCTTGAGTTACTAAAACAGAGCATCATTGGGACGCCTGGGTGGCTCAGTTGGTTAAGCGACTGCCTTCGGCTCGGGTCATGATCCTAGAGTCCCGGGATCGAGTCCCACATCGGGCTCCCTGCTCAGCAGGGAGTCTGCTTCTCCCTCGGACCCTCTTCCCTCTTGTGCTCTCTCTCTCTCTTTCTCTCTCTCTCAAATAAATAAATAAAATCTTTAAAAAAAAATAAAAAAAATAAAATAAAACAGAGCATCATTATTCTCTTTTCCAGAGAATTTCACTTACTCAAATGGACTCAAATTATTTTCTTTTAATATGCTAAAAACACAATCCTATATGTGGTAAGTTATAGTATACATTACATTTTAAGCTGATAAACTACAGTTGATGTGTTTCTTGGATGAAAGTAAATACTCAGAAAAAAACAGAAAATAAAAACAAGGGGACCTGATGAAGGATCACCTCTTTGGGAACAAAGAACAGGAAAAAAAAAAAAAAGCTTGATTAGTACCCTTTATTCCAAGCATGCTGTTTTATTATACTTATAAAATCATGCTTGATTTTTCGTATTTGTATGTCTTTTGTTCTGTTGCTGTTTGTTCTGTTGAGATGTCCATTGTGGTTAGTGAGTGCTCGCCCTCCTCTTTAAGTTGTGAGTCCTGCCTGCCTTAGTCATCTTTAAAAGGAGGGAAGTCTGACTCATTTTGTGGTGTTAAGAGAAAAAAGAATTCTAAAAACTGTTGAAGTTGTCACATTTTCTCAGTCTGTGTTTTTGTTAGGACTGTTGCAGCAAACTTAAGGAAGCAGTCTCTAGGGACAAATGTGTGAGTTGGCTTTAGGGAGTTTTCCAAAAGATGAAGCTGTGGAGAGATCTAGGACTTGAAAGCTGGGCCAGCACTTAGGGCTTAGAATGTTCCTGGTGGTGGTGGTCAACGCAAGAAACTGGGGAGGTGGCGAGTGGGACATACAGGATCTCACAGAGAATGGGGGCCATGGGGAGCAGGTCCTGAGGAGGAAGGTGGCTCAGAATTTAATTAGGTTCAAGTCAGACATGAGATGCCTCCTGCTTTGGTGAGTGATTCTTATTTTTTGGAGGGGACAAAATCAGACCTTGTATATAAGAATAGGCAAGCCACATTTTAAAGAGTTTAATCTGTCAAAAATTGGAACTGTGAAATCAGATATAAAGATAAATTCTCTGTACTGTCTAGGTAGACATCTGTCTAGTTAGAAGGCGTTAAAACTTTTTTGTTTCTGAAATCGTTTGTCCATTTTTTTGAAAGCTGTGGCGTATTAATACGTACATTTAGGAACAGGTAGCATTTCTGTTTATAATGCCCGCTTCTGTTAGGAGTGTCTTATGTGCCACGGAAACACCATTAATACACATCATTCATATTTGTGTGTCAAGTCCATAAATTTAGTATCTGTTGCTAGTAATTTTCAAGTTAAATTTCTTTAGCCCTGAAAAAAAAGTCTTTAGCCTTAGCAAATTCTATCTTTCTTCCCACTTGGACCCATTCATAGCTTACATTCATTCATACATTACATACATTCGCATAGTAACAAAGGAAAAGTAAAGAAAGCATTAACAAAGACTGCTGAAAACCTCTACGAGGCTCCTAGGAGAGAGAAAAATACAGTTGACCCTTGAACGACACAGGTTTGAATTGTGCGGGTCCACGTCTAGGTGGATATTTTGCGATAAGTACAGTACAGCACTGTAAATATATTTTCTCTTCCTTAGGATTTTTCTTAATATCTTCTCTGGTTTATTGTAAGAATACAGTATATTAAAAAAAAGAATACGGCATATAACACATAGGTGTTAATCAGCCATTAATGTTATCGGTAAGGCTTCTTCCTGCCATCTGTAGGCTGTTGGTAACTAAATTTTGGAGGAGTCAAAAGTTAATAGGCAGATTTTCAACTGTGCGGGAGGTCAGCACCCTTCACCCCGACCTTATTCAAGGGCCAGCTATACTCCCATCTTGTCTATAGTGAGGAAAACGTGAGTCTCAAGGACACCCTAAAATCCTTAGGAATCCTCTATTAGAAGCGGCAAAAGGATTTTCAGTTTAATAATGAGCGGCCGCTGACTGGCCCTTCACATTGTATGCATTAGTCTTTCATGGAGAGTTCTAGGCCTGGGTGCCAGGCAGTGCAGGCGGGTCCCTCAAAGCAAGGAAGCTGTGGTGGCGGTGGCGGCAACCAAAAAAAAAAAAAAAAAATTCTGCAACAACAGCTTTAGTATTTCGGGGCTTTGGGTTTTTTGTTGTTTGTTTTTTTTTTCCACCCACATTAAATTTCTTAAGGTTATTTAGAATGATTTTTTTTTCATTAGATCCTCATCCAAGTTTATTTGCAGGCAAAGCTGATTTTCCTACAAGCTTGTAGGAATGGTTGAAAGGAAAGTTGATGGAATCCCTGATTAACAATTGTCCTGCCTAGAATACATTTTGTGTGTGAATTGTGTATCAGTTTTGGTCAGCTGCCCTGACAGAGCCGGGCCAAGATATTTTCCTGCCTGTTAATCAAGGCCCCACAGACAAAGCTCAAGGAAGGATGACCCCTGCCTCAGGAAGTTTTGAATCAGTTGTTATTTATAACCAGTATACAGGAGAACTTGAGATCGGGTCTTTACTCAGTTGATAAGAAAAGTTCTGTGCCAATTTTTACATTTGAGGAAACATTTATGGGCCTCAATGAGTGAAGACTGTATGTGAAAGGAAGGACTGTGACAAAGCCTGTAAGTATTTTTGCCGATTTGGGTCAAGGGGGTGGTGGCAGTGATGTGCAAAGTTCAGTCGGTGACGAAATAGGTTATGATATTTTAAAGCACCTGATAGTTAATGGCACATTGGCTTGTCGTTAGCACCGTGCATATGGAATCCTGTGCTGCTAATAGTAAAGTTGAAATCAGGGTATGTTGAAATAAGGGCTAGTATTATCTCCCAACATAGGAGAGAAGGAGGAAATTAGGTGTTGATATGTTTCCAGACTAATTGGTGCTTTCTCTGGATGTATACATAAACTTTTTAATTAGTTGAGATGTATTTCTGTAAGTGTATGCTTTTGATAATACTCTGTTGGTCCTTGTTTCATTAAGAGAAGGTTTCATAAGGAATTGATTTTACAAAATAACATTGTGTACTACTATGTGTAATCTCTTATAAAACCTCAGTCTACCTAACTTCAGGAAATTAAATACAGCAGAACATTAAAGCTGACAATTTGAGAAATATCACAAGTAATATTTCCTCTGTGTTCTATCACCATCTTAGGAACGCGTTTATGGAGTTGAATTACTTAGTGGATGACAGGTACGTTTTTACATATGTAATGTAAATGAATTATTTAGGGATACATAGGCAGTGTTTTGGTGGACTTTAAATTAGGAAATTATAAAACTGTGTTAACATATGATTGTCTCTTTTTAATAGGACTATTCAAGATAAAGTTGCAGCCATTTTCCACGAGGATCAATGATCAAGATTTTTCCTTTTAAAAAGAGATTTCCAAGTTAAAGATGAAAGGAAAATGCTGGAATTGTTTGGATTCTAACTGACAGGATAAAGAATACAGTATTTCACAGTTACTTAAAATGGAGCGTCAGTAACATTCAGACTTTGACATGCACCCAACTGGGAACATGGATGCCGGTTTTTCTCGTTCTGCTGTTCAGACACTGTCAAGAAGCCACTGCAGAAACATCAAACAAAAAATTTCTCAGTGGGAAGGAAGAACTAATGGTATACCTAATCCAGAGAAGTGGCATCCAAGGGACTTTGGAGTGAGATATAATAACTGTCATCAAGAGAGTCTTCTTAAGAAAAATCCCGTCGATGAGGGAAAGAGCAAAAAGTTGGATATAACCAACTCTCGCAATGTTGGTCTAAATATTAATGAAGATGCGAAAAGCCATGATCAAACCAAGGATGAAAGTGGGAAACGTGGATGTGATGATACACACCTCTTTAGAAATGAATCAGAATCCAATTGGGTATGTTCTCAGGTCAAACAGATCGAAAGCTGGAAAGAAGTTGTTTTGGACCCAGAGACTTCCTTACCTCCAGGAAATTTCTATACCTCACAGATCCTGTGGAAGAAAATAGAAGCACTCCCCCCGGATAAAGTCTTAAATTTGGCTTTAGGACATTGTGACTCTTCAGAAAAAGAACCGAATTTCAGAGTTCTCGATAGTTCATATGGAATAACCAAGAGCTTAGAAAATATTTACTCTGAACCTGAGGGACAAGAATGTGGACCTTCTATAAATCCTTTGCCCAAACCTCGCAGGACATTCAGATATTTATCTGAATCCGGTGTTATGCCATGTAAAGAAAGAAACTGTGACAGAAAATACTGTGAAAATAATTCTTGCGCAGAGTCTTGTTTGGCCTCTTCTCAGGAACCTGAACCAAAGAAATATGGCAGAAAAATCAGAGGGAGATCTAAAAGGTGTGTTTTTATTTGCTCCGTAATGATTTCTAAGTATTGTCCTTCCAGAACTACTGAGCTTCTTTTTTCTTTTCAAAGCCATTTTCATTTCCCTGCATGGGTTACAGGCCTAGTTTGATTTTACAGATGTTGATTAACCCAAGGGAAAAGTACCTACAAAAGGAAATAATATCTAAGACAATTTGCGGACATAAGAACATCAGAAAAACTTGCATTTTATATCTGTAAGAATATGTAGAGAAGTACATTCTTCTGCTTCGTTTAGGACATGCTGGTCTTGGCTTCACTTTCCTTTAGAGAGTGAATTTAATGAAGTTACGCAGTAAGGAACATGAATGTAATTGGCCAAAAGCCTCCAATTTTCTCATGGTGTATATAAGGTACCAGCCTAGTTTATTATTCTTAGGTATCTGATAAAACACCTTTGTAATTTTGCATACAAGTCCTTTGCTAATTGATTTCTCTCTATCATACCAATTTAAAGAAGACTAGAGTTTTAAAACATATAACTTTAAAACCTATCTCCTTTCTTAAGGAAATCCTTTGAATTTGAGGATATTCAGCACTTTCGAAATCGGAGCTCACAGAAGATTCATGAAGAACTTGGAAGAAATTGTGGCTCAGCACTTTATTACACACAGTCGGAGGACAATATCTATGAGGATATCATATGTATGTGTCCACAAACTTTGCAATTAAATTTAATGAGTATGTATTTGGTGGGGCCCTTAACTGTAGGATGGTATTTTCTTTTATACTCAAGCGTATCTTGCTGTAGCTATTTCTTTTAAATACGGAAACTTTTGTCATATAAATTCTTTTATTCTTGAATGGTTTTTATAGCCAGTTTAGTGGACTGCTCAGTTCAGAAGTCAATGTTTATAGTATAGTATTTTGAGAATTCTTTTAACTTGGTTGGACACCAGAGTGGTTTTCAAGCTTAAAGGGCCAAGCAATATAGGTTAAGAAGCTGAACATAGTGATTTCTTTCTTTTCCTAGCTGTAGTCCCTTTGTTTCCATTTAACTATGTCTCTCTAAACTTTGTTTTCCCATTATTTTTCAAGATCCCGCCAAAGAGAATCCATATGAAGATATTCCGGTGCAGCCTTTGCCCATGTGGAGGTCCCCTTCGGCATGGAAGCTACCACCCCCGAAAAGTGCTTTCAGAGCACCAAAGGTATAACCAAAGAATCAGTATAAGAAAAATTATGTATAATTAACATAAGAAAACATAAGAATCTTGTTTATGATCCCCACAAAAAGGTTAAAATGGTTTAACCAGGGCCAAGATTAAGAGGCACCAAAATATGGGTTTTGTTGGTAGTGGTGGTTTTTGTGTTCTTTGTGGGGTTTTGGGGGGGCAGCACACAGCTTTTTGTTTTCTTTGGTTTGGGGGTTTCTGTTTGTTCACTTACTAGCACTTCAAAAAAATGAGAATGTGAACACCTTTAGACAAGCCATGAGCTTTTCATTTCACTGTAGTTAGCACAGCTCCCTATTAGTCCCACGACAGTCTGTGGCCTAAATTACCTGTCTCATCCCCGAAAGCATTCATCAGCCCCGCAAGTGAAGGCTGCCTCGAGTTAATGAGGGCTCTGAGCTGTTGTTTCCCGGAAATGTGATGACATCGTAGTAGAACACTGGATTAGAAACCCGAGAAACGACTGCACAAATGGGGAAAAAGAAGTTCTGGTATCCTCAATTGAGGTGACTTGAAAGACAAGATACATCTTTTTCTAAGATAACTTGACCTTGAGACCATCAGCATTCCCTAGACGATCTTATCTTTACCAGTACATCTTCTCCTGTTTTAGCTTCCTCCCAAGCCTCAGTTCCTCCACCGGAAGACTATGGAACTGAAGAGCTCCCAAGCTTATTTACGGTCAAAGCTCACAAAGGATACCACTTTGCCTGTCACTTTAACTGAATGGAAGCTTTTCCGAGCTGGAGAAGTTGCAAACAGGAAAAGAAAAAATCTTCCCAGGGTAAGGACTCTAGTACTTTCATTCTTTGACTCTTACTTCATTCCCATAAATGAGAATAAATACACTTTAGACTGAAATGAATAATAGGTTAGAACTGATCTACTGGAATGAGAAGATTTGGAAAGCGGCCTTAAGATTTAGGTTTTTGCTCATGCAAGAAAAATGCATGAGCGGCTTTTGCCAGGGCTTCTTTATGGATTTGGAGAACTGATTTTAGATGGAAGGTTTCACTTCGGTTACCTTAGTTCTCATTAAAATCAGCTGCCTGTTTCAAGGAAGCACTAGAATCTCATGTAAGAGGTGGCTTCAGTGTTGTTCTTTTCTTTTCTTTTTTTTTTTTTTAAAGATTTTATTTATTTGAGAGAGAGAGAGAAAGAGCACGAGCCGGGAGAGGGGGCAGAGAGAGAGGGAGAAGCACACTCCCCACCGAGCAGGAAGCCCAATGTGGGGCTCGATCCCAGGACCCTGGGATCATTACCTGAGCCAAAGGCAGTCGTTTAACTGACTGAGCCACCCAGGCGCCCCAGTGCTGTTATTTTCACTCACTTATTTAATTGCCAAAGTGAACAGTTTTGTGCCTGAATTTACAGATTTTCAGTAATAACAAAATATATGCCTTTAATTTGGGGCAAAAATTTCCATTTGGGGGAAGAAAAGAGAAATTTGACTCTTACTTGGGAATAGAAATTATCAGCAATTACATTAAATAAATGATTTTTCTCTCAAGGGAGAAAAGGCAGTAAATCTAAATCATCTCAAACAGAGCTATTAGAACCAAAATGAAGAAATGGGGATTATTTGTAAACAGATACATGTTTTTAAGGAGAGATACTTAAGAAATTGGATGAAGATATTTTTAAATTCTTTATGTTACTTTGTTCTTCTATAATTTAGAATGTTTTCAGGGTAACTCTGCAGAAATGAAAAAAAAAATCAGATCATTTAAATAGTATTCCTTTCCTTAATCCCATCTGAATTAGCTGCATGTTATTCATTTGGCACACAGTGTTTGTACCTGATTTTAACATTAAACAAAAGTCCCAGCTGTTTTTTGGTTTAGTAACTGCTGATCGGTTCCTTGGGAAATATTCTGTTCCACAATACTTTAATTCTTCTGATCTATTTCCTGCCCCTCCCTCTTTAATATGTGAAGAGCTAAAGACACACGGCTTTAAAAAAGCACTAAACACATCTCTCTCAGTAGGAAAAAAAAAAAAAGCAAACCTCTTTAGCTGTTTACTGTACTGCGTATGATGAGGAATATGTAGGAATCCAATGTTTAAAGAATTGCTAGGCTTTCTACAGTAGTTCTGTCCTCTGATATATCATGCTGGCACAATGAAGCAGCCTCCCACATGGCCCAGAGACAACAGATCGTGTGTTCACAGGGGTGAGAGTACAAACACATAAGGGATTGCATTTAAGACGTGGTTTTTGGAATGACATTAACAAATACTTGGGAATAATGGATTGTAGATTTTAGTGAGACCCATGGAAATTTGCAGTGCTTTTAATTTCATGCCTCCATGTTTTAGGTACTGTGGATCCCCCAAGTACTCAAAGCTTGTTCTCTTTCTAACGCTAGGTGATAGGATCCAACCTTTCCTTTTCTAGTTATTTCCTCAGAGGTCTTCTGAGAAGTGAGGTGGGAAAATATGGCAATGAACTCTTGATGATCAGGCAGGAATAAGCTGTTAGCGACCCTCCTTGGTTTAAATCCTATTAGGATGTTCTATTTGCAATACAAAATTTTGACTTTTGAGTATCTTCAGCAACAACATTCCATGAGGAAAGCAGTTTTCATTTATTTCCCCTTTGATGGCTAGAGCTATCCCAGGAAGGAAAATTGGTTTCATAGTTTAAAAATCACTGATCTAGTCCATATGCCTCTTCCCCACCCTTCCTTTCTTTTCCTACTGTGAAAGCCTGTGTGGGATTGTTTGCTAGAGTAGATTTCCTAATGTCTCACATTGTTCGTGTCAGCTGTGCATAGCAATATGGTTTCTATCATTTTGTAGGAAGAATATTCTATAATATTTCCTACTGTACCCTCCAGTATTTACTGGAAGGTAAATGTGAGCTCCACTTCCTAACTCATAAGCAAAATTTCAATTTTATTACTTTATCTCATGTTTCTAGAGCAGACAGTTCCCTTTCCTTTATAATATTTGAGTCTCCTATTGAGTATAATTTTCAAATGCTTATTAATAATTACACTATTTTTAGGGGTGCCTGGGTGGCATGGTCAGTTAAGCATCCGACTCTTGGTTTCAGCTCAGGTCATGATCTCAGGGTCATGAGATCAAGCGCCATGTCAGGCTCCACGCTCAGCGTGGCATCTGCTTAAGATTCCCTCTCCCTCTCTATCCCCGCTCAAGCGCGTGCTCTCTCTCTCTAAAATAAATAAATCTTAAAAAAAATAATTACACTATTTGTGGTCAGTATATCTCCAAAATACAGGTTTACTCTTATACGTCTTTCCTATAGCCCCTAACAATATCTCTTTATGTCAGATTCTCTTGTTTTTTTTTTTTAAATTATGGTAATATTTAAGAACATTGGTAATTTTTCACTTGAATGGCAGCTACAAAATTTTCAAAAGAATAAACTCATCCAGAAATGTGGGAATAATCTGCATATTGAAAGCACATGTTTCTCACATGTTATTTTTCTTTCTCTGGACTGATTCACTGCCTATGGATTGCCAGGATTGCTAGAGAAACAAGGACAAAAGAGAAAACAGGAACATTTCTCTCAGGCAACTTCATTGGTTCTTAATGTTCCTAACAGTTGTAATGCTGGGCATTAAATATGTTAATTCAGGATTAATGATTAAGGAAAAGCTTGGAATTTTAAGAAAAAAGAGAAATATACATGGAAAACTAATGAATTCCTCCTTTTATTTTTTTTTTTAAGTTTATTTGCTTAAGCAATCTCTACACCCACGGTGGGGCTCAAACGCATGCTCCACCGACTGAGCCAGCCGGACGCCCCAAATTCCTGCTTTTATTTTATTTTTTTTTTATTTTTTATTTTTTTAAAGATTTTTTTTTTATTTATTTATTCATGAGAGACAGAGAGAGAGAGAGAGGCAGAGGGAGAAGCAGTCTCCCTGCTGAGCAGGAAGCCCGATGCAGGACTCGATCCCAGGACCCTGGGATCATGACCTGAGCCGAAGGCAGATGCTTAACCATCTGAGCCACCCAGGCGCCCATCCTTTTAAAAGTGACTGTTCATCAGCTTGATTTTTTTCCTCTCTTTTTAAAAGATTTTTTATTTGAGTTTTGTTGACACATAAACCTACTCTGTGTGCGTGTGTGTCTGTCTGTCTCTTTCACACACACCTCCCAGCAGAAAAAAAAAAAAATTCTGAGTAATGCTTACTAAATGGAGCCTGGTTTTTATACTAAAGCATATTTGAGAGCCTCCTATTTTTATGACATTTCTAAAAAAAATTATAATATTGGTGCTCCCAGTAGCAAAGAGAGTATTTGCTTGGACAAAATCTTTGTCAGCATGATTATCTTCTTTTTGCGAAGAATTCCTGGGAACAGAAATAACTAAGCCTTAGCCTGGCTTCCAAGTGGAATGAATATTCCTCTTACTACTCTAGGTGATAGGGAAGGCTTGGTCAACAAATAGAGTGCAGTAGGCAGATTTCTTGCATGTTGTGACATAGAGTGACAAGGAATCTCTCTAAGAGCCTGTGCTGGGTTCTGCTGGAAAGGAGATACCCTTTCCTACTTCTCTTACCCATGTCGTATGGACTTTGTATTAGAACAACATATTATCTTAATAAAGATCATTTTAGGTTCCAAATTTTGAAAACGCAAAGGTTTTTATTTGTAAAATAGATCTTTCTTTGAATGAGAATCACTAATTAATATCATCAAGACTTGGTATTGAATCTTTAAAAAGAAAAAGTGGGGGCACAGACTGGTTCAGTCAGTGGAATGTACAACTCTTGATCTGGGGGTTGTGAGTTCGAACCCCAAGGTGGGTGTAGAGATTACTTAAAAATGAAATCTTAAAAAAAAAAAAAAATGTTGATGTTGGTTTTAACTTGTACTTTGTTGTTCTTCTTTCAGCTTGTATTGAAAATTGCTGACATATTTGAGTCTAAGAGAGGGAAAAAGAGGGTAAAGTTGCACCCATACACTGGAAAAGACATACCTCCCTCAAAAGGTAAGAATTGTTCCAGCTGTCCAGAGCTATCAGCATTTGAGGGGAGAATCATATAATTTAATGTTTATGTGAATTATAATTTTTGGTTTACTTTCCTATCCCACTTCAACATAACTTCTTTAGGATAAGGATTATTTCTTATTCTTCCTCAAATCCCTTTTATTTAGTTCTGTGCCAAGTAATAATAACATTAAAAAATAAATAAGTTAATGGGGCACCTGGGTGGCTCAGTCATTAAGCGTCTGCCTTTGGCTCAGGTCATGATCCCAGGGTCCTGGGATCGAGCCCCACATCGGGCTCCCTGCTC